ATCCAAGCTGAAAATGTAGGGAAGAGGCTAGGAATCCCTGGCTCTACAGGCCCTCTATGGCTTGAGAGCTTTTCCCATTGCAAGCCAGAGGCATTCCTTACCCCAACACAACTTCTGGGGGTTCTTGCTCCCAGAACTTCCAGCAGCTAACAGTTGAGAAGGAAGAGAAACACCCAAGGCAGCCTGGATGGCCTTCTCTTGTATCTTAGATCTTAAGCCAGACACAGGCAGCAATAGCCAGAAGTTCCACATTTCTCTGCGGTTAACACGCTCGTAATTCCACAGGACGGTATCTCAGGACAAACTCACCAGTTTCCGGAGGGCTCCCTCATCCATGCTCAAAAGCCTCTCGTCAGACATCCTTCTGGCCTTTTCCTTTCTACTTGGGAGAAGCTTGCAGATGTGCGTAAGCTCCAAGCGGGTGGTTAGTTCAGCAGCAGGACAGCAGGCTCACCAGAGAAAGTCTGAAAAAGAACAGATCGCAGGCAGGTCAGGGGGGAAATCAGGAGATCTTCTCCCGGGGCTCATTAAAGGCGTGCTGAAAAGTAAATGAGATCCCAGCAGCTGCTTCGCTGGCTGTTAATCCCAGAGCTGGAACATGGAGCCTTTCCGAACGCCAGCAACAGTCGGGGCCAAGTCCGTTGCATGATACACTCCCAAACCCACTTCTAGGAAACTCCGATCTGCTATGCAGAAGAAACCCAAACACACACAGGATTCCATATCTAGTCGTGTTTTTTAATGTTTCGTCAGACAGCAAGCATGCAATGCAGTTTCTCAAAACAACAGGAAGAAAACTTCCAGCCAACTCAGAGGTGCACAGATTGCAACACATCAGGAAGGCATCCCAGGAAGATACTTCCCCTGCCCCAAATGTGGCAACCAAAAACACTAAATCCAAACCAAACCTGAGTAAGTTCAGGAAGCTTAGTCACAAGTAAAAGCATCAGGCAGCAGTCTCAGTTGGAAGAGATCAGCGCCAGGATGCTGACACATGATATTGCTGACCCACACAGACACACCTACAAAGTCAGATGGGTAAGAAGTAAATGTATACCAAAACCTACCAGAGGGCTAGTGCAGGATCATGGACAAAATGTTAGATTCGGACCAGAGACAAACTTTAAATCCCAGTTCAACCACAAAAGTTAGTTGGTCCAGCCGACATCTTTTCATTTAGCCTACCTCACAGCAGAACAAGATCCCATTTAATCCTCCTACAGAGTACAGCCACATACTTCATTAAATGGATCAAATGGGATGACCCCCCACTGATGCTGCCCCATGTTCCTAGAAAAAAGGTTCATATAGAAACATGAAACAACACAGTGCTCTTCACGTCTCTTCCAGATTAAGACACCACTAGAAATCCACTCCAGACTGATAACCTGTAGCTGTCTGATGTCTTTAAACCCAACCTAAACGCAAGAAAACCAGCAGATGCAATTTTCAGAGACACAAAGGCCACAGGGCTCTACCTCCAGAAGACCAGAAGCAGGTGCTCTCTCTTACTGAGCCTTTCCCCACCTCTCTACCATCAGTATCAGTCACTGTGAGTCCAGCCACACACAAACTCGACAGCCACCATGGCACCCAACACTTCAGATGTCCCAAAAACTCATGTGTAGAAAGGAGGTGTGTAAAACACACAGGGAGGCACATACTATCCAACTTTTGGCAAGCAGAGAGTTGGGCTGGGCAGGAGAACGCCAGTGTGGACTTTCTTCCTTACTTGGGAGAATTTTTTTTTCTTTTAAATCCGCTTTAATCCACATTTGAAAACCACACACAGACAACACACTGCACAAATGCATCAGCTCTGAAATGGAAGTCTGGGAACCAGTGATCAGATAGAGAAGATGCCATAAAAATAGCGATTTACCATACACTGTTTCAGGGTGCGAACAGAGGCACATCCAAAACTGCTCCCACCAAAACTTACTTTGGCCCCGAATCCAAACACATGCTAAAGAGCTCCCCACCTCTACTTTGGCAAGACCATCACGAGAACACTCTTCCCAGTCTAGTTTGGTAATTCATCTACCCCATCCCTAACCCCCCCCCCCTCCAGAATAACAATTCTGTTAATCCGGATCGACGTACACACCTCCGCAGAACCTGGACGGGCCATCCATGAATCCTGCCCCGCTGAACCTTTAGGGCCCTGATTCGGACCCGCTCCGCCCAACTCCCGAAACTGCTCTGAGCAAACCACCCGCGCCTCTCTGCCAGGTTTCAGCCCTCACGCCCCAGGTGTACGCCCACATTTGCTGCAGCAACCAATCAAAAAACCATTTTCCCTCCGAACACTCTTGGTCCTCCGAGATTGGCTCAATTCAATTAGTTGGCCACGCCTCCCCATCGGTTGACGGCGGTCTCCCTGCTATCAGCGTGATGGGGATTGTAGTTCTGACAGCGCCGAAGTTTAGGCTGATTTCTAGAACTGTTTCGACATTAAGACAGAGAGAGTTCTTAAATAACGATCTGGTCCATGGGGTCGCGAAGAGTCGGACTCGACTGTGCGACTGAACAACAACAACAAGCTTTATATAGCACGTTTTCAGACGTTCCCTCGAATAATTATTTAATTAATCCAGTAGGTCGGCAGTGTTGGGGTTAGGGACTGAATTACTTGCTTAACCCCACACACCACTGGAGAGTTCGTGGGAAATGTGAGGTATAACTAGGGTTGCCAGGTCTGGGTTGGAAAATACCTGGAGACTTTGGGGGTGGAGCCAGGAGAGGACGGGGTTTGGGGAGGGGAGGGGCCTCATCAGGGTACAGTGCCATACAGTCCACCCTTCAAAGCAGCTATTTTCTCAATGGGAGCTGATCTCTGTCAGCTGGAGATCAGTTGTAAAAGCGAGGGATCCCCAGGCCCCACCTGGAGGCTGGCAACCCTAGGTATAACTACACACTTCCTGGCCCATCCTTGTGCAGTCACGTAGGGTTGCCAACCTCAAGGTGGGGCCTGGAGTTCTATGGAATTTAGGAGAAATCAAAGTCCTGTAGTGTCTACAGAGGGTGGATGCTCAGTGAATTCTCTTTCCTTTATGAAAGAAACATCCAGCTAAACTCTCTCCCTGGACCTTCCCTAAACTCTACCCTCTCCAGGTGCCACCCCCAAATGTCCAGGAATTTCCCTACCCTGAGTTGGCAACTCTAGAACAGCATTCCTCCTTATGCATATTTGCATTGAAATCCTGCCAAGTTAAATGGGATAATCCCAAGAAAGCGTACATTAGGACTGCAACCTTAACCACCATCTCCATATGTTGGTAATTGTGGCACACACACACACACACACAGCTGCCTTATGCTGAATCAGGACCTTGGTCTATCAAGGTCAGTATTGTCTATTCTACTCAGACATGTGGAATGCAAGAATCACTTCATACATATAAATACCTGTTGAAAGTGTGCATCAGAAGGGAATCAATTATTTTTCTACGCTTTATCAACCCAGGATGTGTATTAAAAATGGGCAAAAGGTAACTGAAGTGTGTTTGGGAGTAATTAATCCACATTCAATGATCTCTGTATCTGGGCTCTTAAGGAAAACCAAAGCCACCAGAATTCAATTGTTTCCCAGGCAAGGGGATGGAGGAGGTCTGTGTACTTGATCTTTAAGATCTCAGGGAATTCTCCCCCCCCCCTCATGCACAGTCCCCAGTGCTTTGTCCTCTTCTAAGGCTGCCTCTACACAGCAGTGATTCCCTCTTGCACAGTCAGAGGGGCCCCCCCGCCCCCCAGGTATTCTCCACATTTTTCTCTGTCATCCCGCTGTACCTACCCCGCCCCTTGCCACTGGAGGGCTTTTTGTTAACTTTAAAAAAATCAATAGTTGCTATAGCCTACTAGTGGCACAGAGGGGGACATGTGTGCATCTGGGGATGATAACAGTAAAGTGGTGCAAACACGCTTGGGAAGTTCTCTTTCTGGTCTTTCAGGAAAGATTTCCTTAAAATCTTTCCTTAAAATCTGCCTCCATTCCTGAGGACTGGAAGGTAGCTAATGTCACTCCCATCTTTAAAAAGGGTTCCAGAGGAGATCCGGGAAATTACAGGCCAGTCAGTCTGACGTCGATACCGGGTAAATTGGTGGAAACCATTATTAAGGAAAGAATTAGTAGGCACATAGATGAACAAAACCTATTGAGGCAGACTCAGCACGGTTTCTGTAAGGGAAGATCTTGTCTCACTAACCTATTAGTGTTCTTTGAGGGGGTGAACAAACATGTGGACAAGGGGGATCCAATAGATATTATTTACCTTGACTTCCAGAAAGCTTTTGATAAAGTTCCTCATCAAAGGCTCCTAAGCAAGCTCAAAAATCATGGGATAAAAGGACAAGTCCTTTTATGGATCAAAAACTGGCTAATTAATAGAAAACAGAGAGTGAGTATAAATGGGCAGTTCTCCCAGTGGAGGGGGGTAAGCAGTGGGGTACCACAGGGATCAGTACTTGGTCCACTGCTTTTTAACTTGTTCATTAATGATTTGGAGTTGGGAGTAAGCAGTGAAGTGGCTAAATTTGCGGATGATACAAAGTTGTTCAAGGTGGTGAAAACCAGTGAGGATTGTGAGGCACTCCAAAGGGATCTGTCAAAGATGGGCAAGTGGGCGTCAACATGGCAAATGGGGTTCAATGTGGCCAAGTGCAAGGTGATGCACATTGGAGCCAAAAATCCTAAATATAAATACACATTGATGGGGTCTGAACTGGCAGAGACTGAGCAAGAGAGAGATCTTGGAGTTGTAGTGGATAACTCACTGAAAATGTCGAGACAGTGTGTGACTGCAATAAAGAAGGCCAATGCTATGCTGGGGATTATTAGGAAGGGTATTGAAAACAGATCAGCCAATATAATAATGCCCCTATATAAATCAATGGTGAGACCTCATTTGGAATACTGTGTGCAGTTCTGGGCACCACACCTTAAAAAGGATATTATAGCTTTGGAAAAAGTGCAGAAAAGGGCAACTCGAATGATAAAAGGGTTGGAACACTTTCCCTATGAGGAAAGGTTAAAGCGCTTAGGGCTCTTTAGCTTGGAGAAAAGACGACTGAGCTGTACCTACCCCGCCCCTTGCCACTGGAGGGCTTTTTGTTAACTTTTAAAAAAACCAATAGTTGCTATAGCCTACTAGTGGCACAGAGGAGGACATGTGTGCATCAGGGGATGATAACAGTTGGTGCAAACACGCTTGGGAAGTTCTCTTTCTCATCCAGACAGCACACTAACCCACTTTCTGGTCTTTCAGGAAAAATTGTAGTAAAACATGTTTAGGAAAGATCAAAGCAAAGCAGGGGAAACCCCAGAAATTGGATGACTGAAGGATGACATTGTGCAGATCCTCTAAAAAAAAACACCATTTCAGTCTGGGAATCCAGGCATAGGAAAACAGCCATGGCGATGCATCCTCAGACTGCTCTGCATGCCTGCTTGGGAAAATCGTTGCAGAGGGAAAACTGGAGATGGGAAGCAACTATCTGACACTAACAAGCTTCTGTGGGTTCCCATTGGTAGGGAACCCCAGGTGAGGGCTGGAGGTCTCCCAGAATTACAACTGATCTCCAGATTACAGATTACAGGAATCAGATCCCCTGGGGAAAATGGCTGCTTTGTAGGATGGAATCTATATCATCGTACCCCAGTGGACTGGAGTCTCTCTCCTCCCCAAATGCTGTCCTCCCCAAGCTCCACCCTCAAATTCTCCAGGAATTTTCCAACCTGGAGCTGGCAACCCTACACAGGTTGTGGAAAACCTGGAGATTTTGGGGGTGGAGCCTGAGGAGGGTGGGGCTTGGTGAGTGGAAGGAGTTCAATGGGGTATAAAGCCATAGAGTCCACCTTCCAAAGTGACCATTTTCTCCAGGTGAACTGATCTCTGCCATCTGGAAATTAGGTGTAATAGCGGGAGATCTCCAGCTACCACCTGGAGGATGGCAACCCTACATGAGGAGAAAAGTGGGGTATACAAGAAGAAATTAAATAAAATAGATTAAGTGTACCTTTCATTTCCATGTTCTTGTGTGGTGAATAGTCTGTCTCTTCAACACGTTTTCATTGGAGACGGTGAGGTACACGTTCTAGTGCTGTATGTAAGTACTCCTATTAGTGTTCAGTACATCTGAATGAAGTAAACTCTGACTCAAGAAAATCTATGCTGGGGTAAAGATTGTTAATCTATAAGGTTTCCACTGGATGTCAGAAGGGATGTCGCCAATCCTTGCCTGATGAATTTCTGGGCTTGGCATGGTGGGGAGATGGCCACCATTGGAAGGGGAGGGGTGAAAGAGCTCAGGCCTCCTCTAGGATCTGCTTACATCCTCACAATAAACAGTATTACATGGTTTTGTTTCTTTTTCCTGGATCTTCACAGGGAGATTTTAGAGAAGATCCTGGTTGAAGATGATGGCACGGGACCGCAAAGCAGGCATTGAAAATGGTGGGTTATTTGTTTGTCTAAATAATTTGTGTCTCATCTTTCTATTCAGAAGAGCACCTGAGGCAGCTCACAGTAAACAATAAAGATCAAAATGCAATACACTAAAATAAATGTAGGCTTGCCAAGTCCCCCCGGGGGGTGGGGAAACCCCCGCCCCAGAAGCCCGTTCCCCGCCGCTGGTGGATCAGGCCCCAAGGGGAATCCCACCCCCAAAGCACGGGACGGGCCCGGCATCAGCACATCACCCGGAAGTGATGCAGCCACGCCAGGCGCGCCGGGGCCGCGGTCATCCGAGGGAAAACTCTATGTTTCCCCCTCGGATGACCGCAGCCCCACCCCCGGCGCGCCCGACGCGGCCGCGTCACTTCCGGGTGACGTGCTTGTGGCGCGCGAGTGCCCCACTGCGGCTTAAGGTAGGACTTGGCAACCCTAAATAAATGAAAAGAAATACTAAAAGTTGCAGATATTAAATGTAACAGTAAATGGTCAAAGCAACAAACGGTCGCCTTAAAAGTAGCATTGAACACAGTAAAATAGCACCAGCAATCTGACATCTGGATACTGTGTTCACAGAAGCAAGCATTTAATTGACTTACTTAGCTGAAAAGTTAGTGTGCTCCAGTTGGACACATAATGTCCATGGCAGGACACATCCTGGGGTAACTCTGTGTTCCTAACCTTGGAGCTGTCGATGCAGGCAGACTCTCAAGAGTTTGAATGAGGATTATTGGCAA